GCGCATCTGGGATAGCTTCATCTTCTAGCATGAACCAAAATTATGCAAACCCAAAATGTGTAACAATCTGCACTAACACTTGACCCTAACACTGAACCCCATAGATGTCGAAAAAAGTCGGAACTCCGGAAACTAATGCCTAAAGTGCATGGCACCACTCATGGATGGGACAAGCATATTTTCAAGTAAAATGGCTCGCTCAGCCTAAAATCGCAGTACTGAGCTGGCCATGTAGCAATCCCCAACCTGCAGACGAGTTGCCTTCTAAATCCTGTCCAAAGTAACAAATCACGATGGCTACCTAGGCGGCGAAGAACTGGTTTGAAACAAAAAATGACGGAGTTGTTGGAAGACTTCCATTCCCAAAAAAGACAAGTAACGCAATTGGTTGAAATTTCCAACAGCAGTGACTGCTGGGTTTCGATCTCTGGGTCTGGGAATGATACCCTTGTAGTTTCGCTATTGATTGCGGAACAACCCCATTGTGCAAAAAGCCTATGGACACTCATCTGCAGGCTCAAAAACGAGGACTGCGAATTTCATCCACGCATATTCAAGTACACCACCCATACAGAATCCCGCAAACAACTTAATTTGTAGCTCGAATATCTTCCAATTTCATACAAAGTAAACTCGTCTTCACATACCCTTCACTAAGGTTCATCCACTTCGACATTGACATTGGGTTCCCGCACCCCAGCGGCCATTGCCAACAGTGCTAAGAAAATCTGGCTTGCTGAACTTGCGCTTTCACTGGGCAGAGAGGATACAGGGAGGACTCTGGGAGGACTCTGGGAGGACTCTGGGAGGACAGGGTGAAGAGGATGGGATCCATGCGGTCCATGCGGGGAATGATTTCGTTTCGAATCGTTCTGATTCGTTCCGACTGGGTCAGTTTCGTGAAACTGCGATTCTTGCTGATGACATCTGCGCAGGTGAATCATATCCAATTATATATGTATAGATATACAAAATAAAAAATGATAATAACAATAAAGATAATTATGTATTATATGTATATATATATGTGTTTGTGCCCATTAGAGATGGTACTGATCCATCCTAACTCATACGGTTCCTGCAGCTCCATGCAGAAACTATAGAAACGTTCGAGATGTTCTTCTCCAGCAATTGAGATGGGCTTCACATGCTACAATCCAAATAGATTCATTGCAGCGCAGACCAGAACTGGTCATAGAATGTACGCAGTCGGGAATATACAGTATTGAAAATATGTGACCCACCAATCCATGGTTGGACAGATTCGAGAGGCCGTTGAAATTAAAATTGCAAGACCTTAAAAACAGATTAAAATAGCTTCACAAGTCTGAAACACTCTGGAACTGCCAGGCGCCGACACTAAAACTTGAAAGGGACCATGCCCCTTTATCCCCCTTCCCCCGACCAGGTGCGGGAAAAGTTGGCAGGTCCAAACTTTATGATCGTCTTAAAGGTCGCTCGCCTGTTCAATCTACGATTAATGCTTCACATATGTGGATGTGTCTCCAGACTATTGACGACAAAGATTCGATGGCAAAAGGCTTTTTAGGTCGCCGAACGCATGACAGTGACACCATTGCTGCTGCATATCATCGTTTTTGCGTTGGTCAATCCCTTATAGTGGTTAGTCAAATTCAAGGAATATTCGATACGTTCCGGAAAACTTGCTAGAACGATGGCATTTTTTTGACTCATATGCCAATGATGGTTGCCCTTGTTTGCGCCCTGACAAACATTGCCGATTCTGCGCCCATGACAACGGCCTGACGTCTAAAGCTTGAAATCGATCTTCTGGGTGTCCCTGGGTAGCAACTGTGCTCAGTTCACCCAAGCACCACCTCTGGATAGGCGCTTTTAAAGGAAAATACCACACGAAATTGGAAACACATCACCCATGGTGTATTTTGGGTTGTTGGAACTTGGCTGGAACGGTGTGTGGGCTTCGATTATGCTGTTGAATGTGTCTGTTTCTGCGTGTTGTCGCCAGCGTCTTTTAGAGAGAGAGAGAGATGCTTGACCTGCGAAGCAACCTGCGGTCTTAGTATCATCCAACTGGCACATATCACATGGTTTGTACGTAGTTTGTACGTAGTTTTGTCATGTTTTGCCACACATGGCACCTTTCGGATGAAACCCATTCAACACACACGTCGCTTCAGTCGCTTCCTCTAGGACTCAAGATGGCCATGATCCAAGTGGTGGGTGTTGTTCAGTTTCAGATAGACACTTCGACAAGCAAACAATATGTAAACAAGATGTAAACAATATGTAAACAATTAAATTCTATCATGTTCTTATGAATTAAATGATGACACCCCACTCCAAACAGACCCAAACTTTGCTTTCATATCAAAGCAACTCGTTGATTTCAACCTGCAAAATTGCATGTGAACATCTTCCAAAATAGCAACACCTTCCGAGCCCATTCTGGTGACGGCGAGATGTCGGGGTGCAAATTCGCCATGTCACGCGCCTGAAGTTGACCTCCAATTGGGCTTGTAGCACCTACCACAGACTTTTTTGTGGGGAGAACGGGAGAACAGTGAAATCTGCAGTTTTGAGCCAATCTTTGGCATCCAATGTATTCCAGTGTTATCCCACGATGGGGGGTCCTTTGAACGGCATCTCCAAATGAACTGACAATATGAATCCGGAGGAAGAAATGATATGGGAGACAACTGTTTGATGTTTACCGTCAAAAACACTTCAAGATGCTGGGATGCGATCTGATGTTTCAGGTTGTTTGTACAGAACCCCCCTAGTGATCCAGTTTGACTTCACTTTGTGAATATTCCTGTTGTGTTTGGCAATATTCACAATTTAGTGACCCACCACCAATCTTGCTGATGGTGCCTCCCTGTACGGAGATGCCCTGGCTGTGGAGGATCTTACTGACCTGGCGGTAGATTCATTTATTCATTTGACCATGCTGAACTGGGAAAAACATGAAAAACTATGAGAAACATAGCCAATTCCAATCATTATCACAAAAGGGGATAGGGAAAACACATTTGAAACCACCAAGCAGACCGTTTCAGCTGGTAATGAATTAGATTTGTGTTGGACGTTTGAATCCACAGGTCTCAGCCCATGGACGTTCGCACTCGCCATCCTATGTCAGCCCATATTCACCCACCAAACTTAGAGTTTCTACATGTTTGTACCAAACTTACAAGGACCGTCTGGGTCAGTCACTCCTTACAGAGTCCTTACATGTCAAAGACGAGAGGGCTTGATCTACCGAAGAACAAATGTGGTCCTCTTTGGCTTCAAATTGTGACCCACTGCCAGAACTGCCATCACAACACACATCAAAGTCAAAGGGACCCGCTGAAGGAGGTGATGGAACAGGTCAAATTCGTTTCCAACTGGGATGAGTTCAAATCACACAAATGAACAATAATGAACATGAGGATTTCTCTGTTCCTGAAAAACAAACTACCATTTGCCACACTCCCAAAAGTTGAAAAACCCTACGAAGACACTTTCCCCACTCTGGTCCCAGGCTTTAAGAAATTTTAAGAGTTTTCAACACTTTTCAACACAAACCTTCCTTGGCTCAACACGGCGCACCTCCTCCCGTTCTGCACCGGAGAAGTCCGACAAATCAAAGACCATGCGCCGTACGCCAAGGAAGGTGCTCACCTCATGGGAAAGCCGCACGTTTCTGAGAGATATAGTGGGATATGAACACATATTGTACATATCTTAATAAACATCTTTAAATATATCTTGATATACATATGTAATCAAATGTATACAGAATGCATGTATATATATATTTATGATAATACTTACATACCTTTGTATATGCATTGCATTACATTACACGTACATGCCAGACAACACACATCAACATTTCTTGAACGTTCCAAGCTCCCCAGCGAGGTGCCAAAAGACGGCCTGGCAGCCGTGAAAGATATGGGTCTCGGATGGTTTCAGTTAGACGTTTTTACGACCTGAGATGACTTGATGCCAAAGTCACAGATTTTCGATGTCAATGATGTCCATCATTTTTGCATCCAACTCTGGCACAATGTCAAAATAAAAGTTAGTGCGGATCATCTCAGCTGGGCATGGAACTAAAGAATCTTTGACACCACCAACCACATGACGCTAAGGACGTGAACTGTCAACAAGTAGGCTAGAAGCAAAGACATCATGGGGCAATATCAAGACAAATCCAGCGCAAATGTGCATGTCTAATTATTGTGAATACCAAGCCAAAAAACTATTCTGGACTACAATAGAGCAGGTAGCGGGTGATTTAAGATGTCCCTAGCTTTGCGACATTGCGTCAAGGTGGCAATTCTCCAACTTTTTGAGCTCTAATCCTTCAGCAAGTCAGAAATCTTTCGAGCGTAACCCTCCCCAAAGCATCGCGGGGAAACCACATCCTTTGTAGATGTCTTTTGAAAGGCTTCAAAATCAGCAGTTTGTTGTTCTTCCGGGTGTTACTTTGACCCGTTTCCAAGTCTTCAAATGGAGGAGCTCAAAGTCTGCAAGCAGTCTTGCAGCTGAAAGTTTGGAGCCAAGCCATTCTGCTGGCAGCACTTCAGCAGATTGCCAGGCAGCCCAAAGGAAGTCATTTTTTTAGTTGCGTTGTATCACTGTGTCACCTATTTTCATCTACTTTCGGTGAATAAATAGGCCAACACACATATATGTATATATATATATACGTATATATATATATGTGCATATATATATACATATACATATATATATACATACATATATATATACATATATATATATATATACACATATACATATATATATATACATATATATATACATACATACATTGAATATATATATATATATATGCATATATATATACATATATATATACATATTATGTGCACACACATATATATATATATACATAATATATATATATATACATATCTTTGCTCTTTCTTCATTGGTTATGTAAGATGCTCAGTCTAGATATAATACCTCCACACTTCAATTCAAGGTCAAATCACTATGCTTGCTCACCTTCGTCGGAGATATTGCAGAACTGTCCGTCGCGAGCGGGGATGCAAACCACATGCGAACAAGAGATTTCCGCCTCCAAGCAGCAACAATCGGGTTGGTTCAAAAGGACATGACGAATACGATGGGAATTTCCTACCATAAAGTAAAGTTTGGGGGAGCCCCAAAAACAGCATGGTTGGCAAAGCCCCGAAAATTGCTGATATTTGTCGTGGGAGAAAACGTCTATAAATCCCTTGTATCTATGCCATCAAAATACAAACCAAATGCAAATCTGTCCATTAAAATATATTAAAATCAACCTTGTTACTGTATTGCCCTTTTCGAGGATATCTTGCTACAAGTACCCATGCAGGCCTTGGTGTCGTGTCACCGATGTCCGAACATCATGGATTCTTTCAGGAAACCAAACCCTCTCGACTCCGTATTCTGCTTTGTTCTTTTTTGTTCGGTGGTTTCCTTTCCTTCTCTTTTTTGAAGAGCACTCTAAAAGAAAACCAACATGGATTCATTAGAAAGGCCACCCGCATCCATCTGCATCATCTGCTCTTAAAACATGGACTGAGTTTTGAATGTCAGTGGCACCGAATAAGAAACCATGGTCAGAACACAGGAGGGTATCCTCATTCAAACCTATGTTCCGGATCTTTGCAGGTATGGCTCAACATGTCATGAATTTGGACCACAAAGTTTGGTCAGATTTCCTACTCATCCAATCTTTGCTGTGTCAAGCTGGTACAGGATTACATGGCTCCACCTTTTGTGGCTCAACAGATGGGATCAAAATGCATGCCAAAAACTGGCTATTTACTGGCTATTACTATACTTCTGAAAAAGACGTATACGCACACAGAACTAAAGAATCAAGCAGAATCTATGATTTTGCAGGTTTAAAAAGTCGGAACATTGTGACCTAGCCACTTGTTGCCGCGAAGTATTTGTCTTGGAAACTCTTTTTCGCCTCAAAGCGCAAACATTGTGACATTTCATGTCAGTAATGTGGGAGTACCTATCCTTGAAATTCAACCTGGAATAAGAAACACGTGGTTCCAAAAAACGCGCTTTTCTATGACTTCTTGTGCAGAACTGGTTTAAGACTCTGTTTAGGGCAGGTCCTAAAACTCACGTCCAGAGACTCGATGGCATGACTGGCATGTCATGGAACTCGGCGCCGAGCTGCGGATTTGTGACGAAATCGTCTCATGGCCCAGTAGCCAGCGGGCCAACCCCCCAGCAACGCGGTAACACAAAGAGTTCGCTCGCTGATCCGCCACTTCTTTGCCTCTGCTTGGCGCTTGTCCTGAACAGCTGCCCACAAATTTCAAAAGGAACTGATCGAAATTGGACATGCCAAAAAAACAGGTGGATACCAACTTCCAAAACAAACCAACACATATTTGATGACTTGGTGGGGAGTATCGACCCACTCCCCGGCACTCCCCTATCATCTCTTGTCTTACTGGTCTTACTGCCGAAGAGTGCCCAAAATCAAGTGGTTCCGGGACCCTGTCTAAAATTGCCGATGGAGAGCATTCCCCAGGATCGTGCTTCTGAAGAATTCTGAAGGCTGAGGTTCATCGGTTCATCCCTCTTTGCGCAATGCTTCTTCTAAATCAGCGATACCGCAGAAGTTGGATGCTTGATTCTAAAAATGTGCTCGCCATTCCAATGACTCCAATGACTCCGATAACTCAAATATTATGGCTTCCCAAGGGGTCTCAACTTTCACATATAAGAATCTCTTTACCCAATCTGCCACCCGGTGTTTTCCAGTGCAGTGTCGTACCAAAAGAGTCCAGCTGTGCCACCGTTGACACTCAGCAGTGCCCCAGCGGCTCTCTGCACTCGCTGCGCTCGCTGCGTCATGGCGAGTGCTTCGTTTTCTTTTCCAAAACATACATTGAACAAAACCTCACACACAAAATACATCAAAATACAATATACTCTTTGATACTCTTTGTATGACTCAAAGGACATTTCGAGATAATTCGATACACTTCCATTCAATTCTCACATGTTTGTTTTCCGGAAAACGATCAAATCAAAACATTACATATAACTTATATAACAATTCCTAAAATTCTAGACGTTGGATTTCTCAATCGTGGATGATTCAGATCCTCATTTTGTGAGCCGATTCTGTGCGGATTTGTCCGCTTTAAATTGCAAGACACACAGATCTGGATGTGAAATATTTGATGCGCTATATTGGTATATATTGGTCTTTGCTGAATATCCATCTTATTTAAGCTGCCAATTCAAGACTGAGGACGATGTGCTTATCTGCACTGCAGGTGGCTCAATGTTCATCTCAAGGGCTTGGTTTGAGGATCTTGAGGCAACGGAGCCGGCTTCCCAGTAGCCGCAAGGTGGAAACGGCAAATAATCAATAGAATGGAACAAATTAATCAAAACATCTGCAAATGTCTTTTGCAAACCATGCTTGCACAAAGTTCAAGCCCTAAAATGAAAGAACCAGAGGTAACTATAGAAATTTTGTTGTAACGGTTGTAACTTCACAAGGCTTGGCAAAAATCCAGAGCTGGTGCCTTGGTGTCGAAGGGCAAATCCAACTCCTCCGTGGACCATCCTGGGACGCGCGGTCGCCAAAGTTGGTCCATATTTTTGGGTCGAACATGGGAAAATGGAATCCAAAAACGGAAGCAGGCGTCAGTTTCTTGTGCCAAATTTGAAACATCCAATGTACCATGCATTTTGTCTGTGTCTGTGCTGCAATTGCTATCGTTTTTCGATTCGGAATTGTGCGCGGATTGACACCATGTCTTTACACTTCTTTACGGTGTCAAAATTGGCCCGAAAAATGGATCATCCCAAAACTGACCAGTGAACGTGGCAAAGCCACCATCAAACTCAATGAAGATTTCTGGAAACAATGATTTTTGAAATTCATAGAATTCGGTTTTTGAAACAGCGCTCTATGATTTTTGTAAATATGGTTTCTTAAAATACATTCAACATATGTTGATATATATGTTGATGTTTGGGTTTGCCACATAGTTCCCCCCCCACATCGCCCCGCACAACGTGCACAACCGCGCACAACTCGCACAACAGGGCGCCCCAACGGCTCTCGGAGCGGGCTTGCGCATGGTAGGCCGCCAAATCTGAGGCCTCTGAGAGGACCTGCAGTTGGATCTCTGAAAATAGATACCAATGGATACCATGTGAAACACAGTCGTACCACCAATTCCAAGTTTTTTTTTTAAAACCCATTTTGTGACAATCTTTCTGGGATGTACAACATTTTTGGGACAAACTCAGTGAGTGGCATTTTGGGGTTGGAACCAAATTACTTGCCATCTATAGCAAACCGCCAGCTAGAAAGACTCTTGCCGGAAAAACCTGGAGCTTGGAAACTATGTGGAAGTCAAATCTAAAACGTCCTGGAAAAAGTATTCCAAAAAAGTATTCCATCTTGTTGGGCCCCCTCCAGCTTTTCTTTGTGTAGAAACACCTGAACATACGTACAATATTCATAAACACAATACTTCACCTTCAAACAAAATGATAGTTGTGGACAGTTCGATGTTTCATACATTACAAATATCAGGGTAATACACCGTAGATAATGAACTAATCAAATCTAATCAAAGCAAATTTAGGAGTCTATACTTCCGTTTTACAAACATTCAAAAGTCAACACGACCACCACTATCACTATCACAACCACCACTATTACAACCACCACCACCACCATTATCACAACCACCACAACCACAACCACCACTATCACAACCACCACAACCACAACCACCACTATCACAACCACCACTATCACAACCACCACAACCACAACCACCACTATCACAACCACCACTATCACAAACACCACTACCACAACCACCACTATTACAACCACCACTATCACAACCACCACTACCACAACCACCACTATTACAACCACCACTAACACAACCAACCCCATCTGAGTGAAGCTGAAGGTGAGATAATCTCAGAGTGAGTGAAGATAAGGGTAAGATGATCTGACTTGAGATGAGGGTGAGTTGAGCTAAGGGTGAGATGATCTCAGGGCGAGAGAAGATGAGAGTGCGATCATCTCAGAGTGAGTTGGGATGAGGGTGAGTTTAGTTGAGGGTGAGAAGGTCTCAGGGTGAGTTGGGATGAGACTGCGTTGAGATGAGGGATTTGAGATGAGGATGATATGAGAATGAGCTCAGATGAGCTCAGCTTTCAGTTTTGAAGGACGTCTCGCACGGAAGCTTCCTTTTCACAACTTCAACTTTCAGTTTGAGGGAAGTCTCGCATGAAATGCGTTTTTGAGAGATAGACGATGCGCGAAATGCTATGTTTTGCAGCACAAAACGTACCTCAGATGGATGGGACAGGTCTGCTGCGCGACGGTGGCGGCCACGTTCGGCTTGGGTCGGATTATGCTCGGATCGGCCCCGCGTTGGAACTGACGGTTCGGGCTTCGTTTTGCGCAACTTCAACTTTCAGTTTTGGAAGGAAAGTCTTGCACGGAAGCTTCGTTTTCACAAGTTGAAGTTGCAGTTCAATTGCGACACGGTTGCTGCAATTAGTTTTTGCCAATTTTTCTCATTTTTGCCGCCTGTCATTTTCCTTTTAAATTTTCTTTTACAAAGGCGTCAAAATCACACTTTGGTTCTGGACCAGAGACGAGCTGAGAAGCGCTGAGAAGATGTGCCGAGAAGAGCTTAGAAAATGTGAGAGAAGAGATGAGAAGAGATGAGAAGACATGAGGTAGGTGAGCTGACATGAGCTGCGAAGAGCTGAGAAGAGTTGAGAAGACAGAAGACCTGAGAAAATCTGAGAAGAGCTGACATAAGCTGAGATGAGATGAGATGGGATGAGTTGAGACGACCTGACACGAGAAGAGCGGCGAAGAGCTGAGAAGAGCTGAAAGGAGAAGAGTTCAGATAAGCTGAGAAGAGATGAGAAAAGCTCAGATGACATTAGAGGAGATGAGAACAGTTGTGATCAGCTGCGAAGAGCTGAGAAAAGGAGAGACGAGATGAGAAGAGGAGAGAAGAGATAGGATGAGATGAGACGAGATGACAAAAGCTTAGAAGACACAACATGAGATGAGATGAGATGAGATTGGATAAGATTGGTGAGTTGAGATGAGAAGAGCTAAGATGAGCTCAGATGAGATGAGAAGACAGGAGAAGTGAAAAGATATGTCACAGGAATGAAATGTCAAGAGATTTTTGCCGCCAAACAGAAGGCTTGCACGCACCCATAGGCCCTATATGCTAAAGTGACCCTTGTGTCTCTGCACTCTTTGCGGTCCCATCATGGTGCGCCTTGCCACTGTTCTTGTCTTGTCCTGGGATACCCGGCGCGTGGAACACCTTTCATAACCAAGCTGCTGCGCCAGCAACTGGGGCAATCCTGATACAGTTTGGCAGACTGGTGACACGAAGTGACACGATGTGACACGAAGTGACGCGTTATTTGCTAAGACCCAAACCAGCTGGAGGGTTAGACATTTCTTGAGAAACTTGTTTATGAAAGATAACGGTGAGGCCGACAGGGTTGGGCGAACATTTCAATGATCTATAGAATCTACGGCAATGCACCAAGACCATTCTCAGGCCAACCTTTTGAGCCATATCCGGCTTACCCTGGAGTCGAAAGGGACGGAGAGGAATTATTGATTTTGAACTTTTGAACGGCAGAAGTAGTGACCTTTTGGCTTCCCACAATAAGGATCCACGTTTTTCCAAATGCGAGCACAAGAAAGAGTTCATGAAGCATTCCAAAAATAATCAGGGCACTCACTTTAATCACAAGACCTTCCCGTTTTTTCCTTCACTAAGGATCGGCCCCTACAAAGGGACATTTGGGACACATGTGATACTGAGTGAAACTAGAAAATATGATGCCATCCTTGAACCGTAGATTTGAGTCATCTTCTGACCACACAAACAAACCTCAACAATTTTCTCACAAATGGTGCTCCGTCAATCTCCGTCATATGTAATTCTATGCAAAGCCAACTAGTTGCTGAAGAAAGTCAACAATGATAGAACTTAACGATAAATGTTGAAAATAATTTTACGCCAAATCCCAAGAAACGGAAAAATCACCTAACGATCGCCGAGTAAAGTGGGAAACCATCCCTTCTTATCTTTGGTATTCAGTGACCCAGGAATGGAAGTCAAACATGACTTTTCTAGAAGATGTTTTGTGTAAAACGGGGATTGTCAAAATTGTTGACTTCCTTGGAGCCACCATGAAGCACCATAAATCACCATAAACCATTAGATTGAATCACTGGAATTTTCAGGTTGGAATGGCGCAAGGCGCGGCACCTGATACATCGGCCATCTGCGGTCTGGAGAGTGCTCATGCTTTGCAGCCTGGGGCCGCTGAGGATCCACATCAACGCACCATTCACCAACTCGGTACCAACTCAGTACCCATAAAGAATTTGAACTCGTTTGAAGTATATCCAATGCCTCCAAATATGGCCAAGAAGACGATATTTTTGAGTACTTAAACAGACTTAAACCATCTTAAGCAGTCTTAATCCTCGAACTAACAGCATCATAGCAATCATAGCATATTTACTCCCATCGAGCCCCCGGCCACATGCAGGTTCACAGCATTGTGGACTCTCCACCTGGGCCCGGCTCGCACACTGGACAACGATGCATAACCTCAAAAATGAAGAAACGGCAAACCAATGAGTTCAAGAAAGGGTTGTTGCAGTTGATGTTGTGTCTTGTGTTTCGCAGTTGGTCATTCCAAACACCCCCACTATCATCTATGTTTTTGAACCTTCTCATTTACAGTCCCAATTCTGGTGATTGAATCCAGCATCAGGTTGGCCTTACTCCAGTTTGCATTGGACTAATCGTCCAAAGTTTAGAATAGACAAGTCAAATTCTTGAACATAGTATTTTGACTCCATACCCACCCATGAACCACGAACCGTTGCTTCTTTCCCCGCTCTCAAAACGTTGCAATTCTTACGGGACATGATCTGCGCACCTTACAATCTCTGACTTGTCATTAATTAGGAAGGTCGCACCGGGCCGCTGTTCAACGCTGTTCACGCCGAGCGTCAGCCATAGTGGCAAATCTCTCCAATCCTAGACAATGTAGACAATGACAGGCTGACAGGTCCAGATGGGCCCTAATTTGGAAGGAGTATGTAACATAATGTGACTATATGGGTTAAGGCCTTAGTTTTCCTTCCAAACATGAACTGTATAGACTATATATAGACATGGATAGACTACATCAAGCAAAGCTCGCGAGAGAAAGAAATAAGAGGCCATGGAACGAGAACACATCGTTTCAAAAACGTGTGAAAACTATTTGGTTTTCTAACGAATCTTGATCGCACTCCACACTACTCCTACATCTCCAATTCTTCGGCGCATCAAAACAGTCACAGGTGTGCCCTGACTAGTGAAATAGGAGATAAGTGCGTTCGACTTGCATTGGACAGACCAAAAATGGAGCTGCATGCCACGCCTTCTCAATCATTCTCAATCAATCTAGCAAAAAAGTCTCCACGATTACGCCACTTGGCCGCTAAAATCTGTGGCGTTGTCGCCGGTGTCTAAACCTACGATGATCAATCCATTACAGCTATTTCTGAAGCCCATCTTGGATCCAACAGATTCCAACATTATGATGTCAATTATGTCTTATCTTCATTGTTTGAACACACACACATATATATATACACACACACACATTTCAATCTTTTTAACCTTGTCATTCAATGTCTGTCACCCGCTGTCATATCTCATGCTGGTGCCCCGATCTACCGAATGAATTTTCATGACTGGAATGAAAGTCTTGGGCCATCCCCTCCATGAAAGAAAAGTGATGTGTACCAAGCTGGTTAAAAAGAAATGTGTGTTTGCATGAGCACTACATAAAAACGCATGGAGATGGATCCAAAACCCGCCCTTTCACAGATGATGTTGAGTTCTTGAGCCTCAAATATCTGATTGTTTGCATTACTGAAGCATACCCGGCATACCCTGTATGAAGACTTGGACTTGAATGTTCTGCTCAGTTTTTGGCGGACTGATTTTGAGATGTTTTGACCTCATTTTCTGCCGTCAAATCAGTGGCTGAAAAATGAGTCCAAGAAAAAGACATACATTTTGCATCATATTTTGCATCATTTTGCATCGGTTTCTGGTTTGAAAATGTTTGAAACAGTCCATTTTAGTAGCAGTCACATGGGATTTGTCCAGAGGCTGAAAGCTTTGCAGTTCAAAAACCCTTGCAATTCGCCTTGAAGCGACAGCGCCCATAGTTGCATTGGTCGTAGTCCCACAGGAACTTTTGTCGACCTAAGTGGAAACAGCGGTCGACAAGTTCTGGCTTTCTGCGAAGTGGGTATAATAGTGCAGCCAAACTGCATGCATAGTTTGGGGATTTTGGGGATGGGGGTTGCTGCTGCTGCTCGGAGAATCAGCAATTTCCGCTTCGTTCTCCAATATCTCCAATGGCAAGAATGGGGGGCATTTCAGTCGGGTTCCCAGTGCCCTAAAGTGCCAAGATGTGCCAAGACACTAGTAACTCTTGACATCTCTTGACAATCTGCTTGCTGATTCTTTCCGATTGAACATGATTCAACTCACAGTAAGATATGTTATATGTTGTTTTCAGTGGCACTGGTTGAAGTCTTGCGAACTAATTGCCTTGATTGAATAGTATCCAATTGAAACCAATTTCCCGGTGTTTTCTTGTCTGATCTCTTGAACAGACTACCTGTACTATATAAAATTGGCCAATGGACATCAGCGTCCTCTTAGGATTCCATAAGCTGTCCATTCTAATTTCCTCTCAAACCCGTTGAGTGGCAGTTAACCCTTACATGACATGTAGATTATATGACATTGACGTGTACACATATGATCACACATGTATACAAATTACTATCCTCACTTCCAATTTCCATTTATATACATCGTTTACCCATGCATGTCCATCCGATTCCCACTGTAACGATTCGGCTAAGAGATGATACAACCTTCTGTGGCTTTCTGTGGCTTTCTGTGGCTCCCTGCACTGCTTGCAATTCAGAAAATTGTCCACCTCAGCCAAGGGCGTCTTGGCCCTCCACATTCCAGATTCTTTCCGCGGCTAACTGAATTTTCCAAAACCGCGAATCTGAACATGATGTGAGTAGTCGAATAATTTTGTCGCAAAATGGTTTCCGTTGTAGACAATTCAATGGTGGGGTTTTGAGAATGTGGAAATCAAGGCACAAGATCTGGGATACCTTGGCCCTCCACTGTGTGATCCTTCGGTATGTTGGCATTTTTAGAGGTGAAACACGCAAGCTTCGAAGCTTCTCCTTTTCCAGCCCGTTGACGGAACTCATTTCACAACTCAAGCTGAATTGAAGGTGGAACCTCGTGGAACCTAGTGGCTAGTGGAACCTTAAAGATCTTTTGAAGATCTTTTGAAGATCTTTTGAAGATCTTCGCTTCTCCGATCTTCTCGGTGCACCTGGGTGGCCCTGGCGAAAGTTCGAACGAAGGCTTGTGCTTCCTTGATGCCGATCTCCGGCTGCAGGGGAAGCTCCTGGACGGGAACATGCAGCAAAGTTCAGCAGGCAGAAAAACGCGGAAACACACCACGCTTATCACGCTTTCTTATCTTTCTTACTGATTCCTTCGGTTCCTGATTGGTTTCGGATCATTTTCCCCAGATTCAAATGGTGATACCTCCATGGCCTGGGGATCCCTGCAATACCTCCCTGGAAGCCGTGCGACAGGACACTGCCATCCTCGAGTTTGCTTTTTTGAGCTCCCACATGAGCTCAAATGTGACAAACGAAAATCCCAATGAATTTTGGGTTAGTCATGTGAGAGTAAGTGACACACATTCCCAAAATTGCAGAGTGCATTTTCAGTTGGGGAACAGACCGAACATCAAACCAGTGACTCAAAGACAGATAGTCAGGTTAGTCAGGTAGTCCATTTGTTTCATCTGAATCTAGACAATCTAGACATGGCACTACTTGTGCATACAATCATACAATCTGCTGGCCAAAATTCCGGAAACCTACCATATTTTTGGGAGTGATATCAGAATTTCTTTAGTCACGCCCCCATGTTTTGCTTCCTCAAGTCGCCATCTTTGTGGAAGATCCTGCAGATTTGTTGAGAAATCCAGAATCCTCAGATTTGTTGAACATGTTCCAACTCGAATCCCTCTGCCCTGAACCTACTTTAGTTGCTTAATTAGTTGCTTAAAAGAGATCCACAGAGATCCATGTGTCGCTTCAGCCACGCCACACTGAGCAGCGACCTCTTGGAGAAGCCTCTGGCAGCCACTGCTGTGACAGTGACATGCAGCAGATTCCACCTGTCAGTGGCGTTGGCACGTCAGTGGGCACGGTGTTGCGATGGCATCATTCCCTGGTGTGTTTTTTAGACAACTTTAGACAACTTTAGGCAGGTTATGTAGTTCATTGTAGTTAATTGTAGTTAATTGTAGTTATGTATCTCATATTTGTTGGTGTACTCAGCTGTTCAGAACTTGATAGTGATCTCCACCTGTTCCAACCACACTGCAAAGACTGGTCTAGACTTGGTTGACTCAGACCTCATAACATGGGCAAATTGAAACTTCCAAGAGGAAATGCTCAAACGGCTATGTCAGCAGCCAAGCTATTAAAAATCAAAGCAAAATCATGACACACAAACAACATTCCATCAGATGCCACCCTATCTGCCGAAGGCACAAGTTGCATGTGCTGCTTGTCGGACATGTCAATGACTGCAAGGGTTGGTCACCTACAGCTATAGCACAGCTTTTAATTTGAGATTGACAATCTCAAATTGACTGAATTGCAATTTCAGGAATCGATCGAAGAAAAATCGTCAAGATCAAACAAGCAAACAACGGTCATCTGAGTCATCTGAGTCATGGTGAAAGCACATCACAAGGTTTCCAGTCGTCCGTGAATCGTTTCGCTTCAATCCGGCACCACCGTTTCCGGCACTTCGGTTCACTTCCCATCGCTGATTCATTTGGATTCACCGTGATTCACCAGCCTTTTCAAATTTTTCAAGCAACTTTCACCGGGTCGATTGAGATCCGCACCCACAGGCCGATGAACGAGGCCATGTTTGTGCTCCTCACGCCAACCACCATACACTGGCCATACACGATATACAAAATTTGGATCAAACATGTTTCGTAAATGTTGGATCAAACATACAACCAAGATGAGCTACCACGTTACCACGTTCATTTTTGATACTCAGCAACCGCACAGCTGCATCCCAATAAACTGTAGATGTTTTTGATATCACCATCTTTCGTAGTTCAAATTCAGTTCCCATTTCAAGGCCGGCCGTTTCCATCTCTGGCCTCGTAGGATTCGTCTTGGGCATCATACTCGGGATCACCCAAACCCACCTCAGTCTCGGATCTCGATAGTTTGAACACATGGAAAGAACATGGAGAAACAAACATAAACAAACTGGCATTTTGGGCCTTATTTTGGGCCTTGTATGGCGCAAGAGCTGTCCATTTCATCCAAAAATCACCCCTACCTCAATGGACCAGGACTTGATGGCCTTCTGCGCTCTGGACCTGGCGCTACGCTAAAACCAAAACGGTGCCAGGGTGAAATCGGGTGAAAGCTGAAGAACATATAAAAACCTAACATCTCCAGAGTCCGAGTTATCACTCTTCTGCTGCTACCTTCTCCACACTGAAAGGATTTTGAATTCACGCTTCAATGGATATTTTAAATATTTTGCATCTTTTAATCGAAGGATTCGGGAGTACTCGGACACGAAAACTTGCTATGGTCATCTATGGTCATCTATGTTTCATGTGTTTCATGTGTTCAGCTTGCGCAAACTTTCTGGACTGTTCGCCGTAGCATTTCTGTGTGGTTTGTCAGGTCATCCCATGAAATCCCAATGCCGTTGATTCGGTTTTTCTCGATGTCAATCCGGTCCCTTTTCGGATACATATATATATATTAAAACATATTAAAACATAATTAAACATACTGTTAAGCCGCTACATAGCCGCTACATATCGCTGAAAATGATGACATATCGCTTCTGAGGCACCCAACGGCAGGACCTGTCGTCCCAGCTTCTCTAAGTTGTCGGCCTGGATGCCAATTTGGGCAAAGTTGTTGGATAAATACTTAAAAAATCTTAAATACCTCAACTGGGTGCTAGAACTCGGCATTTTCAGATATGGAATTGAACAAACAAAAAACATGCATATTTCGACAATCACAGAAGATTTAACCAACAGAGATGTGGATTTTGACTGACAATACGGACCTTCACCAACTAAAGACTACGTAGGATATCACCAACAAACAATGGGAATACAAACATAATATATCTACTGGACTGATTCAACGATGGGTACTATCCATCAAAATCGCAGGTTTGCAAACCTATACTAAATGATCTAAATGGCACGGATATTCAGAATCCAATCCCTGAAATCTGACATGAATTCTCCAAATAGCAACGTGCAATCGGACAATAGCCTTTTTCAAACACATGTTTCTGTTAGATGTCAGCATGTGGAATCCTTATCCACTATAGGCTTACACACACACAACACAGTGCTTTAACACACACACACATCTTTAAGACAAGTAAAAGATATGATGAACTTGAGATGAGACAAAACCAATACCAGTGAGGATACAATTGATATAACCAACAAACATGTGGATGCAAGTGACAATAGTAGAGAGAGTGGGGTTTGTAGAGTGGGGTATATCTGCGTATGTCCTTCATGCCCATATGCGAGTTCACCCATAGGGGCACGCTACAGAAATATTACGTGGGAAAACCTACTAAGACGCACAATGACATACAAAACACACTCATGATCCTTACCCAAGCTGTATATCAATAAATTCTAATTCTAAGGTCATATCCAGAAGCTCACGTTACACAGGTACAACTTGGTACAAATCACGCTCACTACGTCACTGAGTTCCCAACCAACTGCGCAATCTCTTTGCCCTTCACCGGAAAGGCCTGGCGGTGTACCACCATGGTACCACACTTTGCACATACATTGCCCTGGGCCCCTCCCACCATAGCCCAGGCACCATGGACAAATATCGTGCCACTTCAACGGTGGCTTGATGCTTCCATGGTTGGTAACCTGGGCAGCCGAATGTCTTGCAGTGCGTCCCGCATTCGGGTTTTGGTCTTGCAGATTCAGTGGGGGGGAACTGTTGAGCTTCACCCAGGAACGGTTGATTCTATCCTTCTATCACCTTTAATGGATCCATCCGCGCATCGGAAAGTTGCTTCTAAATATTCTAGACCGACCTTTTGGAAGCAATACAACTTCCGATGCTTAAATACTACCTGTACCTAACATTACCTAACCACTAGACCAGTCCATTTGTGCAAAGGTTGACCTCTGTGTTTTGTCGCGCCTTGGTAGACGAAGGCCACAAAGCCCATTAAAGCATCGTACCAACGCTCCCCTGCCGCCCAGTTGGCCGATGTCAAACATAGGAACCATCAGCTGAGATTGGGGATATGGCAAAAAAATCACCAATCAAACTTAAAATTTCAAAACCCACCAAAAGTACCAGAAACTTGGAATCGCCTTGGCCATGTCATATTCTTTCCGGCGACAGCTCTAATTTTTGCGTTCGATTCACACTTGAGCAAATATCCTTTGTTGCTGGTACCTGTACAATCAAATAAAATATCGAATTATGATAACATATGATAATATCATAGAATTACCATAGAATTAAGTCATAGATTTCGTGTAGATTTGTACATTATCTGTGCATTTTTTATCTCCACACTGGATCTTTCTGGTCGCCTGGGATGAAGCGGCTCACTCCAGGGCGGCCATCCTGTCCAAGCCATCGTTTTTTGGTGTCGAGTGAGCCGCCTCTATGAGCCTCTATCACTTGATATCACTTGTTTGCTTCACAGTTTGAATTGAACAGTTGTAAGGTTTACAATATTTTCACATATTTTCTAAGGGATTCCGGAGATGGACATCCAACTGGTGTTTTTCAACGAATCCTATCCGTCCAATCCCTTCAGCGACACGTCCGGCCGTCCTGGTTATCTCTCAACCATCCAGGTTGCCCTGGGGGAGCTATTGCTGACCTAAGATCCACAGCAAAACTCCACCGTTGCCAAATGATGCCACATGATAAATGATATCTAAATGATATGAATTATTTGCTCTTTGTAAACATCAGGATCTTCAATCTCTTCATCCATTGCATTGATTATATCAATTATATCAATCAGCAAAATGGATGGACATGGCACCGTCAGAATCTCTACCGGATCTCTTGGGATGGTATCATTTGGACCGGCACAAGTTTCAAGAGCCGAAATCCAAAAAAAGCGGGGTACGCATCCCCAGTCAACTGATCTATTTAATTCTCTGTTCCTTTTGGATCTCAGAACCTTCAGGTACTCCGGCTTTAACCGAGATCAATCTGAAAACCATGGCAGGGGTTTCTCTCTTTGCACTCTGATTCAGCAACTCAGAAATGCCTGCATAAAACCAGGCAAAAATCTCAGTTGCTCCTCTCTATGCCACAGCTTTAAAAACACAGTGCCAAAGATCCCACCAACATCATCAACAGATCGAAAGAATCGAAAGAATCGAAAGCAAAAGCACCAGTTGTTTCCTGAGTTCGCTGAGTCCCGGTGCACTGGCTGTTGTCGATGAAAGTTGGCGCCAACGCTGAGGTCTTTCAAGTCTGCTGCCTCGGTGACGTCGAAAGGGACAATTCTGACGAAGGAGGTGGACTTTGCAGATGGTAAGGCGGCTTCCTGGATTGTAAAATCAGATTGTTAAATCTGTTAACCACTTTGCTTTTGATTCATTTCCCGAAGCTACCCATTGTAGCGAAAGGGTGTTGTTGATCCCAATCTGTATGGCTACTTCTCATCCGAAGTGATGTTTGTTCAGTGCCTCACTTCCTAGTCACGAGAGGCCCCACTTGCTGGCCCTTGCAAAACATAAACTAGCTTGGATTCAAGATAAAGGAACTCTTCCTTTCAATTTTCGTTCACTTCCTCAACAATAGGTGCACTACTATCATCCAATCCATACCAGTTCACATATGCATCCATATTTCCCGTTTCCTACTAACACACTTTTTATACTTTTTCCCCAAAACAAAAGATCAACGCAAAATCCCAACCTGCTTTTCCAGCTTTTGTATGCTTTTGTGGATGTTGGTTTGGTTATGTTTGGTTCCCCCAAGCCGTCACGACCTCGTGGCCAGTGATGCTCTTCACCCAATTGGCCAACTGCCGGGCTGACAAGAAGGGATCCTGCAGGAGCCCGTGGACAACGGGAGAAGAAACATGGGGAGATGAAATGACGGATATGACATCAAGGACATCAAGGACATCGGATATCCCAACATGTCATCCACTCTGTTCAAATTCACTGGTTTCTTTATGTTTCTTTTAAACCATTCTTGTATTCTGGTTGCTTACAGATGCTTACAGCACTCTGTTCAAATCACTGGTAGCTTCATATTTTGCGTGCACTGCCCAGGCCTCTTTACCTGTAGCAACCGAGTCCTGGCAAGACGTTGGATCTACATGGATCTACGTTGGATCCACATTGGATCCACATTGCACTGACTTGGAGTGTAAAAATGTGTAAAACATTGAAATGCACTGTAAATGCACCGGTATTGCCAGGGCCATGGCGGCCATGCTGTGGTTCTTTATGGTTCTTTGTTCCGTGACTCTCGTGGAATCAAAACCATCCACCACCCACCCTAGATTTCGACCCTGCCGCCCTGCGCCAACACTGATTGCCATGCAAAAAGCACCACTGTCAAAGCCAAAATGTAAACAACTGTTTTTCTCACAACAAAAAGGAAAAGATATGGAAAGATGAAGTAAGTGGAGATAACTGGAGTAACACCAAAAGTAACACCTTAAACGGATCACAAGAAATGGACGATGGCACATTGGGCATGTTCGATGGCCACCTCAATGAACTTGTGGTGGCAGTGGGCCAACCTGGCCCACGTGCTCCGATGCGTTTCCGTTGCTTCATGAACTTCATGGGCGGTAGTTATATTTACATGGTTATCAAACGGTTATCATGGTTGGCAGTTCATATTGCATGGTATTATCTTGTGTTCGTTTAGATCCAATATAGATCCAATATTGGCACATGGGTGAAGATGTTTCAGATGTGTAGAAGCATATTTTCATTGTTTATTCCTAGGCTGGTCGATGGATGGTGAGTTGTTTCAATATAAATTAGGATCGCCTTCCCAACGATAGAAACTAGCACATACTTGAGGCCACCAACGACTAGTGGATGATCGGTGTCGGTTTAATTGATCTGAAGTTCTATTTACAATGAATGGAGATATGCCACAGGCGACATTCAGAGCTTCCCTCGAATCTATCTGAGTTGGTATCTCCGTGGCATCCAACACAACCAAAGTACATGGCTGTACCCCAGTAAAACAATTTTCATGATGACAGTCCTGACTAATTACCTAAAAGTAACTGGCCATTAGAATTTGTTTAGAAGTTCAGGCCCATTCAAAGCCAAATGCCGCCAGTCAGGCCGTAGCAAAGCTTTTCGGGTCCTCAGCGAGGCTGACTCTTGATGTCGGATACAGAGAACAAGCGGCTCTCACCAAATTTCGTCATTTGGTCAGACTTGGTCATTCATTGAAGTAATATGGCAGTGTGTCAAAACCTTGTAACCCTGGTGAACATCAAAATAGCTGGTAAATGGATGTTCATCCCCCTAAAAATGGTAATAGGTATTGACCCATACCCAAATGAAGTAATATGAAGTAATTCATTTTGAGGTCCCATATTGACGTGGATACCGTGTATCGACATCTCCAACGTGGGCGCCATGAGTTGATCACAACTGACGCCAAGCTTGATTTTAAACTGAAAGCTCCTGGTACTAAACTAATTCGGGTTCTTTTTGCAGATTCTTGTAGCCTATAATTTTTATAATCATATAGTTTATGTAGGCTAGCTATATCATGCTATATCATATCTATATCCTCAATTTTCCCCAACTTCAGTGATCCCACTTTGCATTCGACAAGCGTCGGATGCTTCACAGGCAAATTCTGGGCCAAGAGTTTGGCTTCCTACGGAGTCTGGGATCTGAACGGATCCAAAGGAGGTCCTTTTTCCACATTTCCACCTCGCCTTTTTTTAATCTTTTTTTGCCTTGAATCATTAGGGAGGTACCCTTTTTCAATCGAGGAAAGGACATCTATGCCTTTGCTTCCTTTTGCCATGACTTTTTGGGCGACAGAACATGTTTTGTGCAATCTTGGGGTTTATCGGCTTTATTTCTGATGTCGGTGGGCAGGATCAACTCGTAACATGAACGCATAATTGGTATAGAACCAAAACAACATCTGGATATTTACGAATAAAAGTTGGTTAAGTACGAACAACTTCCGGAATTCAGCAGGGACACAACCCAAGACATCTAGGATTTAGAGGGATCGAAGGAACAAGAATTGGGATAGGACAATTTAAGGAGGAAACTCCACACATTGATGGTAAGACCCAATGGGTTTCTGTCGTTGGTATTTTTTTCTTTTCTAAACGTCGAAACGTGGTGGAGATGATCGAAAAAAAAGGCAAATCTCTGGAACTTTCTGCCTCTTGGGATTGCCACTGCCTGAGATTCGCGTTTGAACTCGTGCGACACTGCTGGGCTACATTGATCCAGCCATTCGAGACGTGATATGCATCACATGCATCACATGCATCACATGCATCACAAGTAACTGGAAACCTGAAAGAGTAACATCTTCAATGCGTTCAATGTGCGGAGTGTATCGCTCAATATGTTGCCTGCCGATGCATCAAAGCTGTGGATTTGAGACAGGCAGTCCTGTGAAGTTTTTTGAATCTCAGCGGAAGCAGAGACCTTGATGGAATCCAAATGGGTCGGTATTTCAAGGACTTAAATGAAACAATTTGAAATGAATCAAACTTATTTGAGCCCTAAAAACAGAATCTGGATGAAGATTGTGTACTCAGAGCATTTCAAGTGGCTCTGTGGGTAGAACATCACTGCCATTTCTAGATCCCTTGGGGGCGATTGGGCTCTTAAGATGACTCGGAAGGCTTCCAAATTGTAAGACATGGATGCATGGCTGTGATGGTTGTGCATGGCTGCACCTATCTCTATGTTGCTTATCTATGGTGACACCATCTTATATCTCTGAATTTTCTGGTTTCTCTGTAGTCATGCCCCATCTTCTTTGCTTCTCATCCAGTCATCTATAATATACATATATATATATATATATGTATATTATATATTTATTATATACACACATATATATATATATTTATGTATGCGTTTCTTACCATTTTCAAAAAGCGCCATGTTTTCATGCCGATGAGATCTGAAGACCTGGAGCCGCCTGGAGCCTGCCGGGAGCATCCCGACCGTGGAGGAAGGAGGACAAGCAAGAAACGATGGGAAATCCTCTGCGCAGCAGCGCCAAATGTCCAGAACCGCTCCGGTCACCGGTCAGAAGCGGTCAGAACCCAAGGTGTTCACAGGAATCGATCTGCAACTTGTAACCACCAAGACTGGTATTGTATAACCAACTAACGAACTATTATGGTTATGGTCATGGCTGAGCCCCCAAGATTGTGGGCTTCAACGCTGACTATATGAATTAATGATCAAGTGAAATAGAAGAAATCATACTGTCAAACTCAGGCTATGCAGGGTTTGAGCTGCTCACATCAGACTGGACATCGGGTTGGGGTACACTTGTTGCTGGCGAGACCCTCTCGAAATCTTATGAATAAATCTATAGATTTGTTTCTGAATTGAGATCATCTTTCCATGTTTGCGGATTCCAGGGTGAATATAATGTCGTTCAATGTCTCACCAAATGACATGTGAAACGTTTTCTAACAACTTGATGCAGCTTGCTTGGGATTTAGACATAAACAAAGAGAGATTGCCGGGACATGGCCCCGTCCTGAACCCTTCAACCCAACCCTTCAACCATCCCCACCATCTTCAAAGATCTTCCCCGCTCCCCACTGTCCTTAATCTGGGCAATGGCGTTGAGCAGAAAACAAATCTGCGCTGGAGAGCTGGAGAGAGATGGACAGGACGACAGGACAGAATTCCTCGTTTCGTTGGGGATACTTGACACCATCCACATCATGCATGAAACATATCTGAACATTTTTGGCATATTTGATTTCTCTTGATTCTGTCAATTTCTTTACAGTCGAATATCCCAAGAGCTAAATCGCAAGTACTAAACAAATTGACACAGTATTGTCCGCCAGCATTGAGTGGATGGGTAAATGTTCGGATGGATCCATGGATGAATTGATTCGCTGGTGGATGAGTTTATAACGGCACATTTTAAGCAGGACACCAACGGGTTGCATTTTCCCATCTATTACATCTATTCTTCTTTCCTGGTTTTCTGTCAATTTCCCCTTCAACTAATTCTTGGATTGCAAGTTGCTAGACACCAGTCTCACCCGAATATGTAGGAAGCGGAAACCCACAATGGGCATTTTCATCTTATGGAACCACCGTTGGAATCAACGACAAAATCTCCGTATCATTCCGTATCCGTTGATCTCTGGAAAGATCAACGCATGCAGCACGCTCGAATGTGCCCGCCTCCATGTTGTATCTCATGTGGCAGTTGATGGATGTAAACTGAACAGAGGGGATCCCAGAATACCTCACACCCAGGGCCCAGGGCCCTGCAATTGGCAAATCCATCGGATGTTGCGATGACTCAAACCGAATGTGAATCCGACTAATGGAATACTAATGGCTCCTTCTGAGTTTCAAACTTTCAGAGCTAAAACATGTTCTTTTTCTGGTTCAGAAATCTCACGAAAGGTCGCGTCAAAATGTGTCAAGTACCCAAAAAAAAAAGGCGTCCATCTCCGTGGGTTCCCCGGCGCTTGAGCGACATGGGTATAGATAGGTACCTCAGCACAGGTGACGGTGCCGAACTCGCCGTCCCAGCTCCGCTGAACTGAGGCATAGACTGCATACCAACAATGCGGACCTGAGAAAAAATCAGATATCAGATCCATGAACCACGTGGTAAGAGATCTGAGCCGAAGGGAAAGAAGACTTTTTCAAACGTTTTTCAAACGTATTGGCTGTTGATACCCTCTTGATCCCAAATCCTTCAACAAGGGGACGCCGTACAAACAATGGATATAACTTGTGTGACTTGTGACCAGTTTTGAACACTTTCCAGTCTTCGCAAAGAATGCATCTGCTCCAGTTCTCTGTTCCTCCCTGAAGGGTGTCCGACAAGAGTAGTCATAAACTTCAAGAATTGTCCATTTCGAGCCACCTGATCAACGATCATCAACGATCATCAACGATCATCAACGATCGTCCAATGCCCAAACAACTTGGAACATCCCGGGTCGCCCAAATGCGGACCATGAAATTTGGCCCCTGCCCTGATCCTTGGTCTTAAACAAATCCCATGTTTGTTCGCTAAACATCAGCATTTTTGTTGCTTCTAGTTGCAAGATGAGAGGGAAGAAAAACATACAAAAACGATCACTGGTAATCGAACATGGCAATGGCAACTCCATCATTTCATTTAATCATACCACAGACTTTCATGCGGTTCCGATGCGGTTCCAATGCGGTTGCGGCTGAAACGCCTCGCTCCTGTGACGCGAGTCTCCTCAACAGGGTGTCTCCCACATCCACGTCAACCTGTCGGGGCACAAGGGAGGAATGCCTTCAGCGTTGGTGTAGTCACTCTAGTCACACTGTCTGGTCTTGGTGTCATATCATCAGCTGATGAGATTTCTCAATCAACTAGATTGGAAACTACCAAATGGAATTTCTTTCCAAGGTTGTCAAATTTGACCAGATGATCAAACCCAACCAGCTCCAGCAAGGATACCATGGCCATCAGCACTTGGATAATCATCTTCATTATATCTAAGCAAACAATATCAAATAGTAAGATCAGTAAGATGTAGTAGGTATGGTTTCAAACTATCGTTCTCATTGTCTACAATTCTACAACATCATTTTATCTTTCAAATTGCAAATGTACCTTCTATAAGCATCTATAAGCAGTAAATGGATGTAAATGGCAGTCATTGCTGTCATGATGTTTCGATTTGTTGAGCCCCATGCAATGGAATCGGATTTGTACAGGGACCTGGCTCCAGTGGCTCCAGTGGCTCCAGTGGCTCCAGACTTGGGATCGGACTTGACATGGGACTTACATCTGTCATATCTGTCATATCTGTCATCGGGACTCGTTTCATACAGCGTTTTACTCACAATTTTCCGGTTTAAATCATGTTCATTGTCATCATGTTTCATGCGATCTGGCACTTTTGGGTCGATGTAGGACCAGTGAGAACGTCAGGTGCCAATGTCTTCTGTGTTTCTGTCCGACACTAAAATGTCACACTTTCCACAGGTGGAAAACCATGCATAGCTTGTTTTAGCTTGTTTTAGTTTGATTTCACGCGCGTACTTTCCACATCCCACAATGATAACTAATGATAACTAATGATAACTAATGATAACTAATGATAACTAATGATAACCATGATACCTCAGATTTTGGTTTTCCTCAAATTTTGGATGACCTCTGCCCATTTGTATTGAAACGTGCCAGATCGACAACGTGGACTTTGTCTGGAGACTGTTCACTGGCACTCGGTACCTTCCAGATGCACCGAACTCGGATGTGAAGACAGTGAAGACTCCCAAAATGGAATGGTTTAGTGAGTTTACTGCGTACTGACAACAAATAGTCACAAGTCACAAGGCCTTAAAATTTCAGCCGCATATCCAAAAGTACTGAATCTACTAGGCATTCCGCATTCACCATATGAACCTGCTCACAAGTGGCAAATCCAATTGCCCCCTACAGCAATTGGACCATCTTATCGTATTTGTCGCCAAGCCTTCAAACAGAATCAGATATTTTAACAGCATATTTCAACATCTTTCAACATCTACGCCTGGGCGGCTCTGGGCTCCACGGCCTCAGCCAAATGGTGAGGATTTCATGATCATTTCTGATATCTATATATATATACGTAAATACATAAATGTATATATATATATATATATAAATACATAAAATGTATACTTACATTTATATTTACATTAATTAATGTAGCTGTATAGTTCTTGTTTGAGGTATTTCGTTTTTTGGAGATACTTTTGTTACTTTTGGATGATTTATGAAGGAAAACGGCTAAAATCTGCTTCGTTGGGCTATGAAACTTGTGCATTCCCCTAGGAACGTGAGGCTTGGCCGGAGACGGGATGATCCCTCGTGAGGTGAGCTCAAAACCCAAATCCATTTCTCGAAAGAGGCTTTGGCCAATCGGAAACCTAAAAAACTTCTTTCAAATCTCAATCTATGTGTATGTAGGACACACTACACCTACAATGTGTTCACATATATATATAAATACAAATACAAATACAAATATATATATATA